TAAAAAAATATTAAATTTTTTTAATATAATTAAATTGAAAGTTAGTATTAAATTAAAAATGAGAACGGAGACGGGTACGGGTACGGGTACGGGGCGGGTAAGTACATACCCGTACCCGTACCCGATTTAATATATCGGGTTTTATCCATACCCGTACCCGTACCCGGTCAAACCGGGTATTCCCCGTCAAAGTCGGGACGGGTTCAGGTATTACCCGCGGGTACGAGTATGTTTGCCATCCCTAATTAGTGCGTCTTTTTCTCGTATTAATCAATATGATATTTTTAAATGTTAAAGTTTGTTTGGAATAGTTTATATACAATTTATTTATATTTTTTTTTATTTAAAGACATTTGAAATAATCTTAAGTGTTTATGAGTGTATTTTTCAAATTTATAAGATATATTATTTATAATTTATGAGATATTTTGAATTTATTTTAATAAATTATTTAATATAACTTATTAATTACCTTGTATGAGAATGTATTGCAAAACACTATGTTTGAATTCGGTCATTGACATAAATTTTTTTTTCATTTTTTCATTAAAAATAACTTTTATATTCTTTTTCATTATTCTTTTTAATTTAAAATTAACTCATTTAGTTTCTAAACTAAATTGTAACAAGCTAATTATACGATTGAATTTCAAACTATGTATATATCACCATCAAATAAGTTTATTTATTTAATAAATATAAAATCAAAGTTCAAATAACTTTTTTTTTGCAGTCTATTTTCAGTGAACATATTTTAGTCTCTTTTAAAACCAGGTTTATGACTAAGTTAGGCTATTCTAATAATCATCATTAGTGTTAATTTCATTAATCTTACCGAATGGATCGTAATATTGCTGGATTCTTTTCTTCTATATACACCATATATGAGGCAAAGAAGAAGGAATAAGAAGTGAATCCATATGCTAGGATTTAATTTCAGGGTTAGTCCAACTACGCCCATGTGGAATAATAGTTTCTTTTTGTCATCTTCCTTCGGAATCTTTAGTTTTCAACAAAGCATTAGTTGAATTTATAGTTAGAACACCTGTACCATTAAGGACTTGAACAGTTATAAAATTAAGGGCGATAAAACGTGTACCATTTTTTAATTTATTTAACATAACCACGTATTTTTCTTTAAATTAATAATTAATAAATTTTCAAATAAAAAGTTTTTTTTACAACACTTGAAAGTTTTTATTAAAAATCTTATTCAATCAAAAAAAAAAAAAATATATATATATATATATACCATGATATTAATAGGACTATCTCCTGTCTTCCTTGGAATTAATCTCTCTTAAAATCTTGATTACATTAAATATTGAGGATATATTAGTTAAATTAAATATTTCACTTTGTAATAAAAATGTTAGATTTTTTTATTGAGTGTCCTAATTAAGATTTTATCAAAAATATACTAAATTTAGAAATCAAAAGTGGAAATTTTTCTTTAAACATATTATTAAATATTAATGTACCCTCACCATAATTTTAAATGCATCTTCAATATAAATAATAATTTCTAATCAATTTTCTTTTTTCTAAATAGTGCTAAGACTGATATTCACGTTTCCACAAGAAAAAAAAAACCCTTATTTCTAGAAGAAATTCTAAGCACCAAGAAATAACAAAAAAATCAATATAGCATTTAATATACGGAAGTTACCAGCAGCGGTGTGCAAAAAATTGAATTGTACACGAAAGATTAAGCATATACATACACGCCCTAGTTTTTTCCAAAAAAAAAAAAAAAAAAAAAGAATGGTAGAATTGGAATTGTAGCATGTGTAGAAGGAGGAATATAAAATATCTTTAGGCGAGGAAATAGATGGAATGTTAAGAAATAGGAAAAAGCATGGATTTAGGATTAAACATGGTGTAGGAGACAAGTTGGGCGCCGTCCAAATCAATACGTACACAAAATGCAAAACAGAGGAATAAGTGACACAACCAACAACGTCAGCCACAACAGCGCGTGACTTAGAATACATTTTGTTGACGTAACAACGAGTAATGAGTTATGACCCTTTCAATTCCACGCACCATTTATATATTGTGTTCATTCCAATATTCTCCCACAACCATAACCTTAACCCACCCATTTACTAAGACTTGTCCATCAACCATCAACCATCAACCATCAACCATCATGCATCAAGCAATTCCCTATAGATCATGGCGTCCTCTCCATAACCCCACCACCCACTTCACCCCACTCCCATTAATTACACACTCTTGTGATAACCATGATGATGTTAATAATCTTGATTCTCCATCATCATCACTTGTTTCATCATCCTCATGGGAGGGGAAAATGGTGGTGAAGATGGTTCATGAGAAGGCGGTTATAGTGATTGGGAGGCGCGGGTGCTGCATGAGCCATGTGGTCAAACGTTTGCTTCTTGGTCTTGGTGTGAACCCTGCGGTGTACGAGGTGGAGGAGAAGGATGAGGCTGGTGTTGCCACGCAATTGGAAGCAACAACGTTATCACAACAAGGGTTACAGTTTCCTGCGGTTTTTATTGGGGGTAACTTGTTTGGAGGCTTGGATAGGATCATGGCTACTCATATTTCTGGGGAATTGGTTCCCATCCTCAAACAAGCTGGGGCTTTGTGGCTATGACTTTATCTTCTTCTTCTTCTTCTTCTTTTTATTCCTAGCTACCTTTCATGCTCTTTCTTATTATTTCTTCATTTGTATTTTTACCAAATGTTTATTATACATGATTTCTCATGTGCTCCATCTTCCCCTTCATCAAAACATCATATGTAATCTCATTTTATTTTTTTTCATTTAGATCCTTTTTGTAATTTCAGTCAACTTAAATGAACCTATTTAGGGGAGTAGTTTTTTTAATGTCTATTTTTTTATTCACACATGACACATTCGACAAAATATGGAAAAAAGAAAGAGAATTTTTTTATAAGCTTTTGTTCTTTGGTTTAACTTTAAAAAAGAAAGAGAGAAATAGAAGGAAACAAAATTCCTTTTCATCTAAATTTATCTCTTTTCATTATTTATATTTTAAAGTTCATAATTATAATTAAAGGTAAAAGTAAATTAGTTTGTAAAATCATTTTCCCTTTCTTATAAACAGGACAAGAAAATAGTCACTCCTTTGATTTTAAATGAAGAGAAATTCTAACTCCTTTTTCTCTCTTACAAAATCTTTCTTCTCCACTCTTCTCTTTCAAACCGTGCAAAGAGAACTAAATTTCTTGTGATTTACATCGATAAATGCTGCCACTATTCTATATTTTAATTCAAATTATTAAGTATTTAGATTAACATTTAGTATTGCTTTGTTTTGGCTTAACTAATGAATTCAAATTTAAATTACACAATTGCCATTTTACCACGCACAACCGTTTCGGACTTAAATAAGATTGTTCTAGAATATATATATATGTGTGCCCTCTCAATTTTATTTATTTTTTATTCTACATCTTCCCAATAACATATTAAATTATTTAGCTGTTGGTCATAGAATAAAGTTTTAAATTGGTCGTTTTGCAATATCTCTTCCATAGTCACGAAAACATTTTGTGACATTAATCGTAACTTGTTTCGCAAATTAAGCGTATTAAAAGGTGGATTTATAATTTAACAATCACAATGGGTGCATTCATCGTTCAGTTGCGTGTCAGTTTTTTTCAACTCGGTTCATGGCCGACAATGGAAAACAAACATTTCAAATTTTCAATTTTCAAGTTAGGCAGTAACTGTGACCATAATAATAATAATAAAATCTATAACTAAATATCACGTGCACAATATTTTCGTCCAAACTACTATGAGTGAACAAAGACCCCATAAAATCGGATTGAAAAAAAAAAATATTCGAGCAGGTTTGGGTGGGTTTTCAGTTTCAACGAGTTGAAAATATGGGCTCATATGGGTAATTCTGGATGGACTCCAATTCAAATTTTTAAACCCATTAGACCGACAAAAATTATAAATTCATAATTAATTTAAACACAATTATCACTTAATTTATGGGTCTAGTAAATTATCACAATCTTTATTCATTCAAATCGAAGTTGATGATCAGGTAGAAATGGTAACAAGAACATGTGGAAACAAGTTTCATTATCTTTATTCCAATCCTATCTCCATTCTCATATATATCTTGTTCTCATTCCTCTTTTTAACTCATCTAGTACTTATATCCAATTTAATAAATTATTATTTATATTTGTACTTGTGTTTGGTTTAAGATTTAGGATTTAGGGTTAAAACGGTTTTGGACATTATACGAGCTTACTTTTAATATAAATTTGACCAAAATTTTATTTTAATGATTATTATATTTTATATTAAAAAAGTTTGAATGATTCACGTGATATGGACCTATTGGTTTATGTCTCGGGCCTATTTGTTTATGTCTCGGGCCATAGCTTAGCATATGGGCCTATTCTTGCGAATGGAAGTAACCATAGTTCCAAGCACTCATTCCATTTTTTTTTTTGGCTTATGTTTGACTAACGATATGAAAAAGAAAATAATTATATCATTATTTTTAATATTTTATGATATAACAAGAAGGAAGTTTTTTTTTTCATGCTTGCGGAGTAAACATATTAATAAGAAAATTAATAAATAATGTGGCTATTTTATCTTATCTTTCTAAATTGGAACAAGAGTTTTAAATCAATTAAAATGAAATAATTTTCATCGAATTTTATTCTATTTAATTCTATTTTAAATACTTAAAGTAATGAGAAGTATATTTTATTTCATTTCTTATTTTCAATCAAAACATAAGCCAAAGAAATAAATATGTCAAATAATTGGCCAAAATAAAACAACAATAGCATTTTTTTTTTTAAAAAAATGACAAGCATATTTCATGCATCACATAGTTTAGATCTTAGTGTTATTTATTTATGAACTTTGTGATATTTGAGTTTTTATTTATTTTTATCTTGTTAATGGTGCAGAATATTCATTTATTTAGTTAATGACTTAATTTTGTTAAAAAATATAACTAGCCATTTGATGAAAATAATGATAACAATAAGTTTCAAATCCAACTAAATCTCTTTGTATTTATCTAAATTTTCACTTTGACCTAATGAAATTTGACTTAATATGTTAATTTGGTATCTAAATACTCCACCTACCTTTTTAATTGCCTTTTTTAAGTATACTTTTATTTTTATTTACTTGTTATTTTTAAAGTTTAAAACAACATTAATTACCGTTTAATTAATTATACCTTACATCTCATTTAATTATAACTAATTTATATATTAACAACTAATAATATGCATTTATTGCAGAGTAAAACAGAAAAAAAAGATAGGTTTAAATATGTTTTTAGTCCCTCAAATTTATGATAAATTTATTTTGGTCTCTCAAATTTAAAATTGATGTTTTTAGTACTTGTAATTTAAAAAATCTTATTTTAGTCCTTATATTCAAATTTTGTTAAAAAATTTATCAAATATTATTACATAAAACCTACCTATTGGTAATCTTGTTAATTAAAATATCACATTAAATTCAATTGATATTGTATAACCGTCTTAATTTGTTACTTTCAGATATGTTATTGGTGATCTAAAGAACTAAAATAAGATTTTTAAAAATTACAGGTACTAAAAATAACGATTTTAAATTTGAAGGACCAAAAATAAATTTATCTTAAATTTGAGGAACTAAAAATATATTTAAACAAAAAAGATATAATAAAAAAATATGTAAATCGAGAAAACTTGTAACATTTCTTGATTTACGTAAACCGACTAGAGATAGTAAGAAATTTGATTTGCATTTTTAGCGGGGGTTTACCTCTATCAATTTTCATGCAAACTTCTCCCAAATAATTAAGACCTCTTTCTAGCTTGTGGGCTCGCAGTTATCTTAAAGACAAAGTATTTTGTGTAGCAATAATTTATTAAGGGGCAGCGTCAATTAAATTTAGATGTTAAGGTAGACAACAAAGATCCCTTTTTATACGCATACACTTTTATGTACCCAACAACGTCTCATATTTATTAACTATTTCAAATTATCAATCATCGGAGTGGAAGATGGACCTCCTTGCTTTCAATTCCTACAAGGAAGGGAATTTTGAAAATATCTCTCTTTTTGCTCCCTTCCCCATCCAAATTCCCCAATAATTCAATGAGCAAAACGAAGGACACCTCATCAATTCATGGTTTCTTCTCATATTAAAACATTGTTCTTTTATCCTTAGTGCAACTTCTCGTTGTGCTCATATAATTCTTGATGCTGACCTTTGTTTGCCCTAATAATACAACATGACTTGATTTTCTTGACTAAATAATTTCTCGTTTGGGCATTATTTGCTCTCTCTCGCTCTATGTATGCTTGGTCCCTACCTTTTCTCTATTAAAGGGGATAATTAATAGCTAATGCATGCTTGATTCACCTAAAAGAAAAGAGAAACTAGTGCTGTGGGTGCTTCTTTTTTATTTTTATTTTTTTTCCCTCAATACTTTAGTTTTGCTTTTAGCTAAGAAAGAGAATCCTTCTAATCTTGTTATGTTAGATGGCAATTCATAGTTGGTGGGATGAGGTTATAGTGGTGGTCTATTCCATATCCACGAGGACAAAATGCTTACCTCTTCTGCCTCTAAGCGTGTTCAGAAACACAAATCAATCCCATACAAATACAATAACTGTTTTTCATCAACTATATATAATTAATTTCATTTTTTATTATTAATGTTATAATTGGTGGAATAGGATCTACCTAGTAGTTGCTAGATGTGTTAAAGGGAGTTAATAATACTCATTCGAATTGGCTCATCACAAATTAATGTTTTAAATGGATCAATATCTAACTCGACTCATGTTTTGGTGGACTAAAAAAATTTCAACCCAACTTAACTCACCACAAATTAATAAATTAGGTGAATTGATTCACCAAATTTTTTAAATTAAAAAATAATTACATATTTCTATTTTTAATAAATAAAATAAAGAGTTATAAGTTTTATCAAGAAACTAAGTCTATCATTATTTTTAATGCAAATACATAAAAAAATATTAATCAAAATTTTAAATGATAATTATATATATAAAACATCCATATATATATATATATATATATATATTTCATTTATTTA